TTTGTACAGAATCCACAAACAACATAAGTACGCAATTCACCATACTTCCAAATGCGAATAGTAGAAAATTACCTAAATAAATCTTTATTCAGCCATTAAACTGAGATAGTTTACCTTTACTTAAAATACAAGGTAAGAGAAACTAGCACATTGCTAGTATCAAACAAAAACATGCATGAGCCAAAGACTGACATAATAATATTAACTTTTAAACTTACAAGAAACACTATATTTATTCCTAAATGAAATGCACTGGAGCACAAAATTGAACCAGACTCTTATTTTGAAATAACCAAAAAGACGTTACAATCGGCAGCGCCATCTTAGACTGCACTTGACACAGAGTACACACAAAGTCCCTGCTTCTTCACAAAACCCTTCTTAAAACATACTTTCAAATTCGTCTTAACTTGCTTTTAGTTTTAAACCAAATTCTTACATGTTGACATGTTTTAAAAGCTTCACAAACCTGTATAAACCATAGACTGTAAAAATAATGGACGGGACAAGGTCCCCGGTCTAGTGAAGCTTTTATTTTTAGAGCTCCCCCTACTGACTGGCTGCAGTATAGGTCATAAACCCCGCCTCCTCAATGATAACAGATGGGATGTGGGTCAAACTGGAAAGCTAAAATACTCGTCACATAATTTTTTTCCAAACATAAACTCTGCTGTGATCATTAGTTATTATCACCCTACATTGTGTTCAAGTGCTCATTTTTCTGTGAAGTTTGTTTTAAATAAGTTATTTGAGGTTGAAAAACAGGATTTTACCTCATATTTGACGATGATTGACAGCCGCCGATCTTGCGTAGCTCTCTTTGTAAATAGCAAAAGTTACGTAGTGAAGGAAAGCCGAGACGCCATTGAATTTTTCCGTTCAGTTTTTTCGTCTTTTTTGAGCTGGCAAAATGAGTTGTTCTGCAGTAAACTGTTCTAACCGACCTGTGGGAGATAAGGGATCTTTGCAGTTTTTTCGGTAAGTAAAAAAGTGATTTATGTGTCATTGGTTAAAGTTGTTATCTAGCTAGCTAACACATAAGCAGTCTAAGGTTAGCTGAAATGTTGTAAAGCTAGGTTACTTATCCGGCATGATTTATCTTTTTATTTTATTTTATTAAATGAGCAAACCTAATAACTGACATGCTATGTTTCTTGATATTGTTATATCGTTATTGTGATTGAAATTGTATTTAAAACCAAGAATCGTAATAAAAAATCCGCTCATAGATGCGGTTCATTGACTGTACAGTTATTTTACAGTAAAAATAAATTTGTCTGGTCAAGTCTCAAAGAAGTATCGAGGGCAAAAACAAAGTCACATAATTGTAATCTGGCCTGCATCATTACTAATGTGTACATGTTTACAGTCTGAGTGATAAGTGGGCTATACCGAGAGTAACAGGTTTTACTTTCACCGTGCAGGCTGAAATTCAAAGTACTATATACGAGGGTAGAATATTTCTCTATGTATCCAGATAAAACTAAAGGTAAGATCTGATTTAATATAATTGTTACTGATTTAAGAGACTAACCGAAATGTGAATGCAAACATCAACAACCGGCGGTGGTGTAATGTAATATTAACCGAGCATCATGCTGCTTAAACTGATAAATATTCTGTATTGTCTTCCACACACCAATTCAACAGTCATAAGTTGATCATATTGTAAATTTAATGACACTCATTGAGAAATTGTTCTAAAAATTGACAAAACCTGACAAACATTGAGGTGACTGTGACTGTGTCTGTATTTATCACCTTTGAAAAGAAGGTGTTAATGCAGGAGACCAGTGTTACACACAACATGCTGCTGATAGTAGAAGTTAGGAGACATAGGCACAACAAAAGAAGACATAAAGATCGCGTTTTCCCCCACACATGTTAATATGTTTTAAATGTCATGCATTTATTTTTGTTTTGCTTCAATAATGGTTAACGAAGAGAAACACCATGATTAAACTACAGGCTGTTGTTGCCTTTTTATAGCCAAAGAAAACTGAACATTCACAGCCTCTGTATTCAAAAGAATTTCAACATTTACATTTATGTCGTCCTGTTTCCCTCTTCTCACCAACATTATATTTTAAACAGGGATTTCCTTTTTCTCTGGTCCCCTCGTCTCTCCCCCAGCTCGCCCCCTCTGGTGCGCTCCTCTCCATAATGCGCTCGTCTCCTCCCTCTAAAGCTGCTGCTACTCTGTAGGACGCTTGAATTGGGGCACCTCACCAATAAAATACTATTTTATATTTTATAATTTTACTCTCCAAAGGCATATGAGCATGTGCGTGACAACTTTAACAAAGCTTTACCACACAGTCACACCATCCGCACAGCTGATCCAGGATTTACTGTAGCATCTTTTACAGCACTAAAAGGTCATGTACAGGCAAACAGAGAGAAGGGAAAAGAAACAATCTGTGCTCTCAAATAACAAAGCAGTCTCAAATCTTTTTGAGGAATTACAGCTAATTTTTTTTTTACTTTGCATACAGTACTTCCTCTGATAAATACAGTGAAGTACTTTGATTGTATTTCTGTGGTGTTCCTGTAGGTAACCATGATGCAGCCAGACTGAAGCAGCAGGTTGTGAAGGTGGACGCCATCATCTTGTCTTTGCAGTGCTGATTCTGAAGAGAACGCCTTCACATAGGACTCAAAGTTAAAATGATCTCTCATATGATTGGACCGTGTTATTGTAATCGCTATCAGCATCAAAGTAATTTTAGTAACAATTTATAATCCTTCTTAAAATGTAAGGAAGACTAGCAGAAGATTTTAACAACCTCTATGGTTCTGCAAGAAGTTCATGTTTAAATTGTTCTTCTTTCTGTCTTCAAGGAAATCAATGCCCAAAGGAAACAGCAGTCCAGACTCTGATTCCAGCTCCGGTGAGGTTCTGCACACAAATTGGCTGTCTGGTTATATGAGAATATTTAACATTAGTTTAATTCATCAGGCTGGCCCATGTGATGACAGTTTACAATAATCTTCAATAGAAAGTGGCAGGAACACTTTTGTCTTAAAACATCAATTCATAAAGCGGATCATATTATTGGATTCATCCTGTCTTATTATATATTTTGTTTTTCCTCATAAATAGTTCTCCTGTCATAAAAACAAACTTTAGAACCTGAAGTTTAGCAGAACCTGAGAACAGATCTGATTTCAGGTCTGAGGCATAAACATCACAGTAAAATTCATTATACTTTACATTTAACTCTGTGATTGTTTTTCTTAATTACAGAAGATGCTCTCAGATTCAGATCCATCAGCAACCCCTGACAATATGGAGGACTCGTCCCCTGAGCGTTTCCTGTCCTCTCTTGATGGTCTTCTTCTCTTCAATTAATAACACATGTGACGCAAGGCAAATTTCAGACTACATCTGACAATAAAGTATTATCTATCTATCTATCTAATGTAGAAATCATTCTGGAAACTAGCTGTTTTAGCAGCTAATGAATTGTTAATAAGTTAGGACTTTTGATCTGATAACTTGACATTTGCTAACTTCCTGCTCCTCTCAAGCTCCTCCTCCTCATGTCCAAATATGGTCAAATTCAAATTCAAATTCAAAAAAACTTTATTTGTCCCCGGGGGGCAATTCAAAGGCACACAGAGCAGTAAATTAACAACAGTGCAGGTAGATGAAACATTTTAACCTAAATATAAAGTGTCAATTTAAATACAACTTAAAGCTTAAACTTAACTTAAATCATCAGAAATCACTTGAAATTAAACAAAAACCTGAATATGAAGTATGATAGAAACATAATCTAAATGTACCTGGCTTGTTACATTGTTTGAATCACTCTTGCATGGTTATCAGGATTGTGTGATGAGTAACCTGTTACTTTTAGTTCCTGGTACCTGCCATTCTCCTGCTGCTCTAACCTTTGAAATTAATGTGGGTAAGGGGCAAGTCTGCTGTTTTATGTACTCTTGCATCTTAGATAACTTCAGTCTCATACTACATTAATGTCATGAACATTGTGCTTACTAGCTATTTTTCCAGACTGTTTGGTTATCTGGTCTTTTCTTGTATTGGCATTTGGTTCTAATCTAATGCACCTGTGTCTCCAGGTAACAACAAGCTTTAAAAAGGCAACAAACCAATGAGTTATATCACAGTGACAGCATCTATTCATGTTATTATGAACTTCTGGTTGCGCTCGCTGTAGGCACATGTATTTACTCACTGAACATCAGTCTTGTTTAGTGTTTGTCATTTATTGTTGCAGCTCTTGTTTGAGATTCAGGTTTGTTGTTGACTTATTCTGTCAGAAAGCTTCCTCACCAGCTCATCAACTAACAACGGGCTCAGACTGTCTGATAACTTTTTGATATGTTTCTGTTGGTAACCTCTTGCTCCTCTTCGACTCCTCCTCTCATCTAAATACAGTAAACTCTGGCTCTTAAGACCTTAACAATAGAAAACTGGAAACTTGAAAACATAGTCAGGGGATATTAATGTGATGTTGGGATTTTTTCAGATTTTATTTTTTTTCACATGATGTTGTGTAAATATGTAATGTTGTGTTATATTACGTCATGTGTTGTCTTGTTTTTTGTTGTGTTGTTGTTAGATTTTTATGTTTAATATGATAATATGTTTCTATATTGTGTTTATGTGTTATGTGGTGTTATTCATGTCATGTGTTGTCTTGTTGTGTCTGTGTTACGTTGTGTTGTGATGTGTTGTCTTGTTTGTGTTTTGTTTTGTTGTGTCTTTGTGTGTTACGTTGTGTTGTGATGTGTTGTTTTGTTTGTTTTGTTTTGTTGTGTCTTGTTGTGTCTTGGTGTGTTACGTTGTGTTGTGATGTGTTGTCTTGTTTGTGTTTTGTTGTGTCTTGTTGTGTCTTTGTGTGTTACATTGTGTTGTGATGTGTTGTCTCGTCATGTGATCTGATGTGATGTGATGATTAATGATGTCACATAATATCAGGTCATGTGATGTGAGCTACATTTTGTTTCATCAAAATGAACTTTTTGGTTCATTGAATGTCCCAGCGTCTCTTAGATTCATTCCCTCAGCAGACAGGTGGGATCTAAAAAAGGTGAGTTTGATTCCTACACCATGTTTGTTTTCAGCATGGAATCCTTTTTGATTCTTTTTTGTTTGTTTTTTTCCTTTAGGAACAGGAGGTGAAATCTAAAGAAGAGCCGTGAACAACAGAACAGAGGAGACAGGAAGCAGCACAGAGGACACAGACAGGATGAGGCTGAATGAACAGACCGACAACGAGAGAGAAGAAGAAAAGATGAGAGACAAGTGTCAATGGTAACTTCATGAAAACAGCTCTGAAGATATTCTTAAGAAAACATGGCTCACTTTGAGGAACATTTCTCTGACATTAGATGAACTTCATTTGATTTGTGATGTATGTTCACTAAACCATTGTTTGTTTGTTTCAGCTGAGACCTCAAAGCAAACAGAGGAGTCCATTTAAAGAAGAAATGGACAAGTTTGGAGACAACAAGAGGTCGGCACAACATTTAGAATCAGCTGCAAAAACAGAGTTTGCAAATCAAATCTGAATAAATATAGTACCATGAATAATCTCTGTCAACTGTTGGTATTTTCTCTTTATTTTGATGTAGGGGTCATTTATATATCCTTAATAATATCACCTTAAGGAAAAAAACAGGTTTTCTCAAAAATTTTTAATATCCTGACTCTGAAATTTTTAATTTGAATTTTTTGTTTTGCTGCTGTTATCTTACCCAATACGATGCAATCCTGAAATGGATCTTACTCAACAGAGGAGTTGATCAAATTTCCAATTTCAAGTACATACTTGACAAAATCTCTGTTTAAAGACATTTATATTTTCTTTTTGAGAAAGATCCACAGTGGAGAGTAATTGTGTCTGTCTTGTGTCAAATGATATCAAGACATGGAAGAAAGAAGAAACTCTTTTCAGTGTTACAACCCGGCTCTGAGGCTGCAACAAAAACAGGAGTCGAAGACGAGGTCTACCAAAATAACACCACATTTATTTACAATGATCAAATGTGAGAACAAGGTGAGAGAGAGAGTGTCTGTCCTGAGAAGAGGATTATATAGATGAGGACAACACCGGGCCAAGGTGCAGCTCATCCCCTGATTACGACCCCGCCTTGACCTGAACCTGTAACACAAACAAACAAGCAGCACGGTGTGGAGGGCTCGTCACACCAGACATTTATTTTGTCTTTCAGCACTGCTCCTTCAATTCAACATTTTGAATAATGACAATTCATTTGCGCTATTGTAAAAATGTTCTCCATATAATGAGAAATCCCTGCACTTTACTTACCAGGGTGTTATACAAATGATCTTTGACTTGATGAAAGTTGACATTTCTCCAGGATAATGTTTCACAAACTGTTTCCAATCAAACTGAGACCTGAGAACTTTTCATAAAGCATATAACACACTTAAAGACACAGGTCATTTATAACATCCTTAAATCTATCTTTGGATCCAATGCAGGGAAACAAAGTGTTTTTAATGGCACGTTGAGAATATTTGCTGCTGCTGTTGCTGCAAAAAAGGTCTATTCAATCTTCAGGAACTCTTTAACAACAAAGTCAAACAAATGATTACTTGTGTATTAATCCTAGTTTCTTCCCAACACACAAAAAGATATTTGTTTGTGTTCAAAACAAATAAACTTCTGTAACAAATATCCCCTGTCATAGCTCTGATTTACAAGAAAAAGATTGTAGAAGTCCAGGACATTACAGACCAATTGCATTAAAATGTGCAAAATGAAGAAAATGATCAATTACATGTTTACATGGCAAATAAAGGATACATGTGTAAATACGGTTTAAGGAGAGGATCCAGCTTTATGTTTGGAACATGATGTTAGGAAAGTGCATGTAAACAGTAGATTGAAACTAGGACACAATAAGAAATAGACAATGGGAAAACAAAACATGGTCGACCTAAAGAAAGTTCAACTTCCAAAATAAAAAGTCATGTTGGCCAAATGAGAAAGGCCAAAGTCAAAATAGTGTGAGAAGAAAAGTCATTGAGATAGAAAGTCAGATTTACATCAAAATGTCACAAGTCAGGGCGCGCTGGTGGCGCAATGGTTAGGGTGCACGTCCCATGTATTGAGACTCTCATCTCAAGCGGCAGGCCCAGGTTCACTTCCACCCGTGGCCTCTTTCCGCATGTCATTCCCCGCTCTCTCTCCCTGGTTTCTGACTTTATCTACTGTCCTCTCTCTGCATTAAAGGCACAAAAAGCCCACAAAATAAATCTTTAAAAAAAAAAAAATGTCACAAGTCATAATGTAAGACAACAACCATCATTCTGAAATGTAAAAAAAGTCCATTGCATGTCTATGACAGTGTCACAATATTAACTCACTACGGGGAAACATTTTCATCTTAAGCAGGGTCCTGTGTTTTGTGGACATGAATTTTTTAAAAAGAAAAAGCTACAGTGGTTCAAGGTCCTTGCACATCTTAAAAGTTTGCCCATAAAGGCAACAAGGCAGGACTAAGCCTTGCACACATGGGCAAGAAACTGTCAGGAAGTGGAAAACAAGGATTGCAACAATTGCAGATCTGGAAGTAAAATATTTAATTAAACAAAAAGACAAAAAAAAAGTTCAAAATCCGAAAAGGGAAATAAGGAGCCACTAGGCAAACACTGAGTCACTCGGAAGCACAGGTAAGTATTTTTTTTATAATTATTATTAGGTGCAATAGCGTGACAAACTGGGGACATATACATGGCAAAAAAACAAACAGACAAGGTCAGGACAGCTACGACAAAATACAATTAAAAAAATGAAGACAGCAAAATACTGAGACATGCAGGAGTTACATATGAAAATATATAAATCAGTATGAGCATCTATAGAGTTATATACTGATGTTTTGTTCTGGTGGTCTTCTATATTCTGAAAAGTATGTTAAGAGATAGAGGTTTTATCTTTGTTACGATGAATTACATGAACTACATACCTCACTGTGATTTCAGTGAGGTATGTAGAAATGATGACACATGACATAAATACAAGGGGGTTTTGGCTACATATTAAACCCATTTTTGTAGGAAAATATGCAGCAAATAAGGCGTTGGTACTTGGATTGGTCGGCTCATGGACTAATAGAGTTCACCGATTGGCTCACTTACAAACTCATCAAACTCACCCTAACCCAAATCACTCAAAGACAACAACAAAAAGTTAACCCTTAGTAGTGACTTGATGAGACAACTAGATATGATTTTATTTGTTATGTTTCAATCATCTTCTTTAGGCATAAAATAATTTCTAACTCTCTTTCAATAACTTTATATCCTGAGTTACACTTCCACTACATACATGTTCATTTTAAAATAAAGGAATGTTTTAAAAATTAAAGTGTCATAGTTAAACGTGGGCTACACTTAATATCATAATATCATCACGCAGGCATCTTAAAGAAACATTATATTGTTTTTTACCCAGCCATTCGTTCCCCTCTATCACAATCAGGAGATCTCTTAGCAGGTCCTCGGTGCGATTCCCCGAGTCTTCTGATGGTCTCCTTCAAGTCAACATTAACTTAAAGGTTTGTAAAATATAATGTTTTCAATACGGTTATTGGTGTGCAAACAATTAATCTTCTATAGGTCATCTATGAAACATTTAATGGGGTGCACAAAAATGGTGTGGATAATGATTGTAGGTGGTTTATAAACCAATTATTAATCATTGATAAAATATTAATTATCTAAAACATATTTGTAGATGCTTTACAAAGTATCAGTAAGGGATTATAATCTTCAGTTCCAACTTTATAATAACATCCAAATAATGTTAATAGAAGTTTTATAAAATATTTACAAAGCATGAACAAATATCTGGTCCATGTATCTCTGTAATGTTTATAGATGTTTTATAAACCATCTCTTAAAGGTTTATAAATCATTTGGTCATCATTAACAAATACTTTATAAAGTGCATGAAATGTTGTGTGCATCAATAAACTGTTAACAGAAATTATAGCATTACAAATCATTAGCAAACATTATTAACTACCATTTTATTGTTTGTTAACAGTAAATAATTATTAACTACCATTTTATTGTTTGTTAACAGTAAATAATTATTAACTACCATTTTATTGTTTGTTAACAGTAAATAATTATTAACTACCATTTTATTGTTTGTTAACAGTAAATAATTATTAACTACCATTTTATTGTTTGTTAACAGTAAATAATTATTAACCATCTATTTACCCTTTATAGATGATGGTTATTATAAAGTGTTACCTTTTCTTTATGAACATCATCTGAGCTTTTGATTCTGAACTGAAGCCTCTTTCTTCGCCTGCGTCTGCCTCCTTGTTATAGGCTTCTCCTAATTTGAACTTTTTTTATTTTCAAACAGACTGAACTAAAGAGGGGGTGGGATCACTAGTATCTTCCCTCCATGTTTTCACTGCACTTCATGCTCTTTTGGTCATTTTCAAACCTTTGAGTACTTAGCAATGTTTATCAGATCACAACGACCTGTACAAACATCTTTGTGTACCCCCACAAAAATGGCTGACTTACTCTGCAAAACACATCTACCTACGGCTACAAATAAAGTTACCCTACCTTATTTTAGAGTAGCCTGTTCAAAAACAGTCTGCAGGAATGTGCTCATACGTTTTACATGCAGTGTGACTTTCGTTTTGAATGGCACAGACAGGACGGGCAAAAACACTGTTTAAAGGATCAATCAGTAAGAAATGTATTAAATGAAATGATAAAGGACCTTACTATATCATCAGACTGTAAAGGTCACATATCCTCCTCCTCTTCAACTAGTTTCAATAAGTTTCTTGATATAAATCCACTCTGATTATGTATTTGATCATGCCTATAAACCAGCCGTATATCTATGAGTGGGCCTGGCTGGGCCTAGGCCCGCCCACTTCTTGCCTAGGCCCAGCCAATTAAGTTGCTTTTTTGTTAATAAATCTGTTATTAAAACAACTTAATATGTTGTTTGCATTCCTTATCTCTTCATCCCTGCCTGTTGTAATATATATGTAATAATTAGCATTACATTTCATACTGTTGGAATTTAAAAACTTAAGGGGCAGGGAGTATCATTTTGGTACTGATTGGAGGCAACAATCTGTATATTATCCATTTCAACCAATAAAATGTATTTGTACATGACAATTATGTGTGACATGTGCTGCAATTGGTTGCCAACTGAATCTACGGCATTTGTCAAATTGGTTGTTTTGCACGAACTAACTCGATGCTGCACAGCTTCCTGCTTAACTTTCACTAGCAAATGTAGCTTAAAAACAAGTCAGCCAATGTCGGCACACTGCTAAGGGTTATTAGGATAGGATAGTACTTTATTAATCCCCAGAGGGGAAATTCAGGCGTTACAGCAGCACAGACAAGAAAGCTCAAATACACATTAAACAGAATAGATAAGATAAATAAAATAAAAATAAAAACAGGGGGTATATACAAGAACAAAATGAATGATTAAGTTAACTGGGGGGAATTGAGAATTGAAACAGTATATGAAGAGAATGACAAGTTAAAGTGACAAGTGATGATTAAGGTGACTTGGTATGATAAATAAATAGCAGCAAGTAATGTAAACAGCAAGCCTGCCAATGACATCATGTACAGTGGAGCAACTTTTCTCAACTACAAATCGGATAAAATAAAGACTGAGAGCCTTAATGTCACCGGTGACTGCTGAGCTACCTGCTCAATGCATGCCCCTAACTAATGAACGGATATGTCTGTGAGGTGGCCGTGCCGCCGTTCTGTACATTAATGTATCAGTAATATTGCAGTGCACTCTTGACACAGCAAACTCAAATATAATGTCACACAGAAAGCAAATCAATGATAGCACAGTAGGCCAATGCATAGCAGAACACTATTCTGTTTATAGAATATATAGTTTATTTATGAAATTAATTGTGTGGCCCGTCCACTTATTCAGGCCCTGCTGCAGGTTCATTTCTGGCTACGCCACCGCTATAAACCCCTCTATTTCAGCCCTGCACAGATCAGGCTGTTGCTGTACCTTTAAGGGCACACTTGGTTCAGTTGCTCGATATTGTTTTAAGAAATTCTACAATTCACTTACCAGACGCTTTTATCCAAAGCGACGTACATCAGAGAGTAAGTACAACACAAGCAAGGATCTAGAAAAAAGGGAACAATGTCAGTAAGAGCAAACGATCAGCTTTGAGTCTGATTGGACACACAGGTGCTGACAGGAAGTGACCAGAGGCAAAGCACAACATTGAGGGCAGTTCTTGAGAGCTCTAATCAGTATAGAAACCATCATTGTTATCAAACAAAAACCATCGTCACTACCATCATCATCATCTATAATATGGAGACCATCATCATTAAGTTAGTAGGTATTCATGAAAGAGCTGGGTCTTTAGCTTTTTCTTAAAGGTGCAGAGGAACTCTGCAGATCCAATGGAGTTTGGAAGTTAATTCCACCACCGGGGGGCGACAGAGGAGAAGAGTCTAGTCAGCGTCTTAGGACCCTGTTGTGGGGGGGAGGGAGTGTAGACCTGGATGAGAGAGTTAAAGTAAGGAGGAGCCGTTTTTGTCGCTGTTTTGTAAGCGAGCAGCAGAGTTTTAAATTTGATGTGAGCAGTAACTGGGAGCCAGTGTAAGGAGATGAACAGCGGACTAACATGACATTGTTTTTAAGAACAGGTACCTCTTGTACATAAAGTCGTAAAACAACACATCCATGGCTTTAAGTGATTATTAAGCGTGTTTAGTTTACAAGACAGGTGGACTCATAAAGAAAAGGGTTGTGTGTTAAAGTCTGCCTCTGCACATCAGAGAACATGACAGCTACTTGTGGCTTATTTTAAATTATTTTAGTCAGATACAGACAGAACACTCTGGGGTTTTTCCATCATGGAGGCAGGAATGGATTATACTTCATGTCCACGTTGTGTACCCGTGCTTGTGATCTGCCATCACAAACTGCCCTTTGTGATGGCATGAAGGGAAAATCTGTAAACGGCCTGTTTGAGCACACATTTTCTGAAAAGTGGAGCAGGCGAAAGACAGAGAGGATGGACTTTTCTCATCATTGGGGGTTTGTTGACATAAAGGGAAATATGTATGCTCTCAATTGTAAGAAGG